CTTCCTGCCTGGCACGCAGATCCACAAAGGAAAAGTCTGCGCACTCGTGGGCAGTGCGCGCCAGAGGCGTTTCATGTTCTTTTTAAAACTGACTTACGTGCATTTTCTTTGCTTTCTACAGGGGGTATTCACTATTCTGGGTTTTTTTTAATCATTTAAAAACCTCTGTTTAGAAATAACACATGATGAAATTGATACAGATGTCAACGTGAAAAACACTGTGTCGGGCTTTTGTGGAGGATTAAAAACAGAAACTGTTGAGCTGATTTGTGTAGGAGAGAACAGATTCTTCAGACGGGGATTGTTAATCAATGTCGGTACCAAATCTAGGGAACCGTATCGTTTTCCTGGGACTAACTAGGTATTGGTTCACCTTTTAACCACGAACAACGGTCTCTCCCCACTGCTCTCCTGTGTTTTACCCAGAGGAGCCCCTCACGGTCCGAGGGCCCCCTCCCCGCCATCCCCTACTTGAGCTGGGGACTCCAACTGGGGTCTCGCACCCCACGCCGTACGGGCCTCCGGGACGGAGCTGGGAGCATTCAGCACAGGTGGGAGGCATCGGGGAGCTTGGGGGACCGTCTCTCTTCTTGTGTCTCTTGCCACCCCCCCCACCTCCACAGCAGACCGGCAGTCAGACCAGTCCCCCCCCGCGGAGCTCCGTGGCCCCACGCCCCGGCGGCCGGCCCCAGGGAGGAGACCAGGAGCAGCCCGCACAGTCTCGTCCGTGTCCCCAAGGACCCGAGGACTCGGGCAGGGGTCCCAGGGCCCTGGCGGACAGGTGCTCTCCAAGCTGCAGCTGGTGGACCTGGCGGGCAGCGAGTGCGTCGGTGAGATGTGAAGCCTTCCCCCCGGGTGACCTGGGGATGCAGGGTCCAGGCCGTGAGCGGACGGGGAGCCCCAGGTGGATGCTCTCCCCCCCATGTCTGTCCTTGTGGATTGCTGTCTTACCACCACAGAGTGCATGTCAATCCAACACACGTCGTCTGGGGGCAGCTGGCAGCGCAGGGGCCCCAGGTCCAGCCAGTGCCTCCCCTGCCACGGAGGTGGTCGGGGACATAAATATGATTGGGGGTCTCCTCCACGCTTCCTGGGAGGTCTCTGTTTTGCTTTGCTGATTCACCTGGATGTCACCCACATTTGTGCAAATCCCATGTCTGACTGGGTCTCTGCACTTCCCCAGGTGTGTCTGGAGTGACCGGATCGGCCCTGCGGGAGACGTCGCTTATAAACCGGAGCCTGGCGGCCCTCGCGGACGTGCTGGGGGCGCTGTCGGAGGGCAGAGGCCACATCCCGTACCGGAACAGCACGCTCACCCACTTCCTCCAGGACGCACTCGGTACCTGCCGCCCCCGCCACCACCCCCAAAGAGGGGAAACTGTCTCCCTGCCCCAGGCCACACCTCCCGGGGAACTGCTGGCTCTCTGGGTCACTGCGTCCCCTCCCTCAGTATTTCTAGCGCGCTCGTTAGCAGCCGGCCTCCTCGCTATCCTCGGTGCCACGTGCACTGGTTGGTTAGCGCAGCGCAGCGCATGCACGACCTGCTCCCCCAGCTGGGCTCCAGGCTTCCCCAGGTCTGCCTCCTTGCGGCACACAAGGGGTCCCCAAGGCGTGGGACCCTCTGAGCCCCACGATGCCTGCGAGCTGGGCTCTGCACTTGTAGGTGGGGACTCTTGGTTGCTGGTGCCAGGAACCCAAGTAAGTTCGAGTAAGTGCAGGTGACCCTTGGAGGTACGGAATCACCAGGCTGTGGGTTTGGGGCTTGGGGTGGCCTGACTACGCTGGCCCTCGCCCACTCAAGTTCCAGAGCGATGGAGCGGAAGCGGACGGGGCGCTCTGTCCTGCACCGAGATGCCCGCCCCAGCAGGCAGGTTCCCGCGCTGAGCTCTCTGCCCGACCTCCCCCGAGGCAGCCCTGGCCCAGCTCAAGGCACACGCCCAGAGAGGAAGGTGGGGGCTCTTGAACCCACAGGACAGGGAGCTCCGGAGGGGAGGGGCCGGGGGGCACCCCCAGGGTCTCCTGCCAAGCTCGATGACAGTTAAGTCATGGGAAGCCAGTGGCGCTCATTCCATGGAGGAAAACACGAGGGAGGAGGAGGGCATTGCTGGGAGGGAGAGGGCACAGTGTGCGCTGCTCGGCACCGCGGCCTGTCCGGGGTGGCGGAGGGCGGGCGTCCCAGGCCCGGGTCTGACTCCGCGCCCAGGCTCGCCTGTTCTGGCTGCCGCCTCCAGGGGACGCCCTGGCCCGGGGCTGGTGTGCAGCCGGGGAGGAGCGCGGCTGGGGCGGCATCTCCTGGCAGGTGTGTCACAGAGATGGCGCGTGTGGCCGCCACCTGGGCTCTGGGGATTTTAGAGATGCCAGTTTTTCACTGGAATTCCTTCCAAATGCATGTTGTTCTTTCCTTAAGGAGGCGACGCCAAGCTGCAGGTGATCGTGTGCGTGTCCCCGTGCCAGAAGCACGTGGCAGAAACACTGCAGAGCCTGGGATTTGGGGCCCGAGTGCGGCAAGTGGAGCGGGGCCGTCCAGCCCCCAGAAAACCCAGGTGAAGGTGGTGGGTGCACCGTGGGCTTTCCTCCCTTAACGTGCTTCCCAGCGGCGCCTGGCAATGTGTGCGCCCTGGAAATAAATGCACTTTGGACCTTGTAAAGCCCAGCACAAGCCTGCATGGACCACCGAGGCAGCAGGCGCTTGGGAGAAGCAGGTGCGTCAGGGGAGCCCCCCGGGCAGGAGAATTTGGGGGTGGGGCTCCCCGGGGACCAGCACCAGAGCCAGTCGTCCGTGAGCAGGATCTGAGCAGACTTGGGGTCTCGTGGTGGTTCCGTGTGTCCCCGACAGATTACTTGGCCCCTGAAGTCCATTCCCTCATCCGTAAAAAGAGTCTGTGTTGGGGTGCCAGGCACACACCCCCAACAAAGGGCAGGTGGCCAGGCGTCCTGAGTCCTCCTCGTGTGGGCCCCCCATGAGGACCCCCACGTGGACACATGCTTGCCCATGGGCACGACGCAGACATGTAGTGGGACCTGGGCCCTCAGCACTGGGGGCTCCGGGAACTTGGGAGAAGGAGAGAGGGCAGGTTTGCTTCCACTGACATCTGGCAGCCACGGGTGGGGGGACATACCACATGGCTATTTCTGGCCATGACACCCCAGCCGGTGCAGGGGCACCCAGCCCCATGTCCCTTCTGAGACGTGGGCTCCTCCACCCACCCCAGCTGCTGCCGAGTGTGTCCATGAAGGGCCAGTTCACGGTGTGAGCACAGTGACCATGCTTCCTTTGGCTCTTGAAGCGTCTGAGAAGGGCCCCCAGGCCCCTCGGCCACAGAGGGCCATCCACAATGGGTGGGCTGTCCACGCTGTTCTCTCCGTGTCATCCCGTTGCTCCGAGGGACAGAGTGTGTCCAGACAGAGGGGACAGTCCCCGGGAGGGAGCACCGTGCAGAGCCAGCAGGCAGGGGTGGAGGTGTCGGCTGCTCGGGTGTCCCTGGGGCCAGCGCGGCCACCTCCGTCCTGGCAGGAACAGTCTGCAGTCCCACAGCATGGGGGCCGAGTGGGGATCCCCAAGAGACCTGTAAATGCAGGGTCCCCACGAGAGAGGACCAGCATCTGGTCATCCGTGTCGCTGAGGGCATGACCCCAGCCTCCAGTAACCTGATCAGTGAGGCCGGGCAAGGAGGAGGACCTGCGGGCAAGGCGGGGGTTCGCAAATGGGGAATGCAGCCCCCACCCCTCCAAGGGCTGCCATGCTTGGGGCAAGCAGAAACCTCAGAACCAGGCAGAAGGTTAACATTTTGGTTTAGGTCAGAATGGACTCTTCGACACTGGGATGTGAAAGCTTTAATATCCAAAAATACGGTGAAAAGCTGGATTCTGGCAGAGATTTTGTGCGTGGCTAAGAGAGCAAGTCCACAGAGCACCCCACGCACAGCCAGCACCTCAGGGGACAGGTGGTCCAAGCCCAAGGGACTTCGGTGGCCACAGTGCCTCAGGCTGGGTGCTCTGCACCCCATCGGGCCCCTACCTCCCTCGATTGCCTTCTGGGTGTCCACAGCTGGAGAGGGGACAGCTACTCAGCATGGGAGGCCACCGGCCTGCTCCAGTTCCCAGCCTCACCACAGATGCCCCCCAGAACCCACAGGCCGGCGCTGGGGAGGGGTGAGTCCACGTCCAGGGCCCCTGACTGGCCTTCCCGCCACTCCTGCTGCTTCTCCAGGCTGTGCATTTGCCCAGCGAGGCCAGGAGCCTGGGCACCTCGGGGCAGTGAGCAAACAAAGATGCAGGGAGACAGTGGGGACGGGGTCCCCCCGGTGGGAGAAGGGGCTCTCCTAAATGGCAGGGCTGGGCTGGGACTGCAGGAACCTGTCTGCACTCACGGTTTCGGTGCAGGGAGTTAGATGATGGGTTGATGAGCAGACAGATGCAGCAAAATAAGGACCAAGTGAACGTGTGTGTGTTTTGTATTCAGAAGGCCCCCTTCACATTCTCTGCCCCCCCTAGCCCAGTGTCCTCTTGCAGGTGAGGACTTGCCCAGGAGGCACTGCCTGCTGCCCTGGACGCCCCCTCAGCACTCAAGATGGTCACTGTGAGCCTCAGGGCGGGAACAGCTGGCCGAACCCTGACAGCCCAGTCACAGGGGCACTGAGGAGGAGGGAGCTGTCCACACGCCGAGGCCAGCACGTGGCAGGGTCAGGTGTCCCAGGGGACCGGCCAGGGCTGTGTCAGCACATTGTTGTGGCTGTTGGAGCCTCCAGCCCTCAGAATGGCCAAGGGTCAGCCCCAAGGCTGGTGGTCTGTGGTCTCCAATTTGGCATTGTTGGCAGAGACAGAAAACACTTCGTTTGTGGAGGAGGGAGCCACTGGGTCTCAGCCTCCCCGTGGGTGTCCCTGTGGGGAGCCCTGGATTCCTGGGCCCTCCCTGCTCATCCTAGGCCCCTGGGTCTGTGCACAGTGTACATCTGCTCCACACATCTGCTTGGTGGGGGGGGTGGATGTGTGCAGCTCCTGGGGAGGAAGAGCACGGGGCCTAGAGGGAGCTGGCACCACCCGCTGAGGTCCCTGAGCGCCTGCACCAGGGAGTCCGCCCTCCACTCACTTGCTCAGCCACCCCTTGGAGGCCCACTGAGCACGGGGCCGTTCCTCGGGGGAGATGGGGGATACTACCATAAATGTGGCACAGCCCGCCCTTGAAGACTTCAAAACCAGGACAAGGATTAGATGTGCCGGAGCCTGCCCGCCAGGCACCCCCGCGTCTGCTCCCACATCCACACAGCGACAGCAGGGTCACACGGGGCAGGAGTGTGGACCAGAACCTCGCAGACCAGCGCCCACGTTCTGCTGTCCCGGGACGGCTGAGGGGAGGACCTGGCCTTTGTCCAGGCTGGGCAGATCGCTGCCTCGGGGCCTTGTGGCTTCCTAGGGAACCTGCCTCCCAGACCTGCTCCCCCAGTGCCCGGCCGAGCTGCCACCCTGGACAGCCCAGTCCTCCTGCTACAACCCCCCCCCACCCTGACTCCCCCACCACACCAGGAGATTCCCGGGAGGCCGTGGCCTTTTCCCATGGCTGAAGTCTATGAATGATTAATGCTCCTACATTTGCTCTCATAGGAAAGCTGTTTTGTGTTCACAGGAACTCCATGTCCTGTGGAGGAAGCAGAGAACAAAGGGGGCCTGGGACACGTCCCCGCCTGTGATCAGAGGTCCTGGAGCAGAGTCCCGGGGGCGGGCTGGGCCTGAGACCTGAACCTTATGTACATAGTTGGTGATGGGGGCCCTCCTGCAGGAAAAATAATGTTATACATTCTAAAGTAGGTATGCAGAAAAACACTTAGAGGAAAACTTAAAAACCATCAAGTCACAGCTTTAAAAAGCTGGCAAATAGCGCAGACCGCCACGGAACTCCGAGAGGCACTTCGGTCAGTTCTTCCGATTGCACCCCCTGTGTTTTCCCGCTGCGTCCTCGACAGGCCCTTGACTGGGGAAGACACGCCCACTTTCCCCCAGCACCTCCTCATCCTGAGGTTTAAGGCGCCGGCTTCCCCTCGCAGCGCGGCCCGGGGAGGGGGTGCGGGGGCTCCTGAGCTGCAGGCCCCTCTGCCCCCAACCCTGGCCCTGTGCCAGCTTTGTTTCCCTTCCTGTCCCCACGTCCTGCCTGCACTGGGGGTCCGGGTCCCCAGAGACGTGACCTCTGGCTGCAGGGGTCCTCCTGGGGGCCCCTGCTGCCCCCGTCCAGCCGGCTGTGACTGAACCTCCTGGCTGTCTCCCACCAAACCTGACCTCCCCGCTGGCAGGGCCCGACATGCCCGCAGATTCCGCCCGCGACCGCGGGGAGGGTGTGGAGTGAATGCTGAGTGGAGAGATGGCGATCTTAACTGCTTATGGTTAAAAAGCCCTAGTTATGCACATTTTTTGAAAGGCTGTAACCATGTGAACACCACCAGTGGGGCCCAGCGCCTGCGCGTCATGGCCTCGTGGTCAGTTCACCCTGCCCGGTGCAGTGTAGCGCAGAGGCCCAGCTCCGAGTCCCCGCCATCAGAGCCTCCGGTGAAGCCTGCCCCTGGGGTGCCCGGTCAGCAGTGAAAGGGCAACTCCCACCCCCGCCCCGGCCTCAGCCACCCCGCTCCTCTCCTCTGAGTCTTCAACCACTTGCAGCCGTCCTTGGAGAAAGGACGCCCTGGACACGGATTCTGTCTCCCAAGAGGGAGAGTGGGAGGGTGACACGACCACAGGGTGCAAAACACTTCATGGAACAAAGGTGGCTGGCAGGACCGGAGCCCTGGACTCCTGGTCCACGACTGTGAGGGCGAGGCCACCGACAGAACCGCTCCCAGGTCAGCTGTCATGTCCTGCGCAACCGCCCACAGGGGCGGTCTCTACCGCAGGCTGCTGCTCCACTGCACCAGGTCCCAGGGCAAACAGGCGGGTACCGTCAAAGCGCAGGTTCCCGGGTCCCAGCAAGACCTGGCGGGCGGCCCAGCTCCAAACAAGCCCGCAGGTTCTTGTGAATTAGACCCGCCAGCATGAGCTCTGGCCTCCTCTTCCCCCTGCCCGGCTAGGGTAGCTGGTGGTCATGTCTGTCCAGCCGACACTTTCCTGAGCCATCTGCACGCTCTTTGGGGTCCAGAGGAAACCTGGGTGGGTGTCCCTCTTAGCCCTGACAAATGGGGAGGGAGATGTGTGGGGGCTCCCACCCCTCCACAGCCCTGGGGCCACACGCCCCGGACAAGGTGAGTGGGTCCACTTAGCAGGCCCCCCACCAGCCATGATGGCCCTTCTCACAAACCCCTTTCCCTGCCAGCTGACACCTGTTTTCCCGGGTGTCTCCTGGTATCTGCTTTGCCTGAGAGACCTTTGGGCCTAATTGATGCCAAAGGAGAAGGTGTTTTGTCTGATGTTCCTCTCCTGGAGAGGGGCTGCCCCCTCTAGGCTGCCGCTTCCTCCGGGTGGGGAGGGGGCCGTGGGGAAGGGGTTGGAGACCACGCGAGGTCCCTCTTGGCCTCTGACTGTCCTCCACGTGCCCTGACCACCGGAGTGACTCACAGACACTTGGCACAGTTTTCTGTGTCTCCACAGGCGCTGAGGAAGGGCAGAAACGGAACCCCCAACCTCGCCCTGGTGGTTTCTTGGGGTCAGCCAGCGGTCCCTGCTGCCTCTCATCTGCCAAGGACAGAGGGCGCTGGCCACCCTCAAGATGGGCTGTATCCGGGTGACAGAAGAAAGGGCAGCCTGGACGTGGGCTCTGACCTCACCGGGAGGCCAGTCGGAAACCACACGGGTGAGCACCGGGCCATCCCAGGCATGCTCCATGCCGCCCCCCAGCAGGCTCGCCGCAAGGTCGTGTCCACCCCCACCCCCCGCTTCAAGGCCTGACCCGCACACCCAGGTCTGTCCCTGAACGTCCTGCAGGCGCGGCAGCCGCCCTGCGAGGAGCCAGAGCGTGCAGCCAGCGCCCTCTCGTGGTGGCCGAGGGACGGGCGGGGCCGGGGGCGGGAGCGCAGCTCAGTCCCCGCTAGGAGCTCCACGCGGGCATCCGGTGGAAGTGTCCTTCCACCAACCCACGTTGACTTCCACGTCTGCCCACATCCGTGTGCACACGTATGCTTGCGTGTGCACGTGTATGGGTGTGTGTAGGTCGCGGCCCCAAACAGCTTATTTCAGCCTCACCCTGACGCCCGCTGCCCCTCCCTGACACCTGCTTTGTGCAACAGCAAAGCAGCCTGTGGGGCTGGGCTCCTGCTCACAAAATTCCTTTAAAGGGGAAAAGGTCATCCTGGACCCTGGATCAGGACACGTGCAACCTCATTTTTTTTTCCCATGAGGGCCTGTCTCAGCATGATTTTGGAAATTTGCGGGAAAGCAGGGCTCAGGCCTCCACACCTCCGGACGCCATCTTCCAGGCCCAGACCACACTCAGGCTCCCCTCCCTCGCCACCTGCCCTTGTGGCACCAGGCTCGGTGCCCGGGGCAGCCCCGGGCGCGTGGGTACCTCCTGTGGGGGGGACCGAAGGGCAGCCCAGGAGTCCAGCACCACGGCTGCTGACCCTGCCCTCACCGTGCTCCATGCTGGGAGCGCTGCCCCATCTGCCATCTACCCGGTGCCGGCACCTGACCTGCCTGTGGGGAGTCTGTTCAGTGAGGGGGCGCTGGGGAGATGAGGCTGCCTCCACCGACCCCTGGCCCTCCCTGCCTGGCCCAGCCCCACGGCAGCGCTGACCTCGGCAACGCCACACCACAGATGAAGGTAGGTTTCTTGCCACCTTTTAAAAAACAAGTAAGATAAAGCTGAGCTCCAGGGGGCAGGGGCTGTCACCCCCCAAGTCCCTCTGTCCACACAGCGCTGGGACATGGAGGGTCCTCACAGGGGGAGGCCCGCAGTGGCCAGGAGCCCTCCCTGTGTGAACTGAGGGCCAGCGTGGCCTCCCCGCGTACAGGTGCGCACAGAGGCCGCCCAGGTGCAGACAGAGATGTGTGTCCAGCTCTTGTCACACGCGCACGGACAAGCTTCCCTTCATAGAAAGGGCCAGCAGCGTCAGCTTGGCTGCAGCCCCACCCAACCCGGGACTCAGGCTCCGCCCGGCGCCAACATGAGCCTGAGGTGGACTCGGCCCCACGGGGTCCTCACAGCACAAGCAGGACAGGGAGGGGACGATGTCTCGGGCTCTCCGACAGTGAGGCGCAGGTCAGCGCGTCCAGGCGAAGACGGCAGCAGGCGTGGGGGTGCGGATCTTGTGTGAGGGGAGAGGACCCACAGGTGGAAAGAGTCTCACCACGCCCAGGTGCCTGTCACCAGCCTCGGGCTGGAGGGTGGTGGTACCCACGGAGTTCCACCTGTTCGGAGCGGCCCCTCTCGGAGCCTCTGCAGAGCACGAGGCAGGAGTCCCACCTGGGGTCAGGAGGCAGGTGAGATGCAGCGCCAGCTCTGTCTCTCCATCTGGGGACACAAAGCCAGGCTGATGCTGGCTCCCTCCACCAGCTGGAGCCACTCCGCCCCGTCCACGAGGTGGATGGCTTCGAGGACAGCCCCCTGCACACAGGGCCCTGGATGTGGGGACGGGTGAGGGGAAGCTGCCCTGACTTGGAAGGGACAGCACAGCACAACTACAGCAGCCAGCCCTCCCACCCGCGGACCTGCCCTGGCGCTCCTGCCCCCGGTGCGTCCCCTGTTAGAAGGACACCTGGCTGCTCACTAGCCTCTTAGCGCTCCGACAGCACAGCCTCCAGCAAAGGTCAAAGTCCCTCAACACGCTTCTCCAGAAATCACTGCAAACTTGGCTCAGCTATTCAGCCGCTTGTGAGGCCTGCTCGAGACAGGGTGCAGACGTGGAGGGCGGGGCGGTGCAGCCCCACCTCCGCCCACACCTCCCGTCCAGTCTTCTGATTCGGGGAGGAGGACCATGGCAGTGAAAGGCCCGGAAGGGTGACCAGCGCTGACGCAGGCTGAGCGCCCCAACGTCCCGCTGCTGACAGGCCATGGCTCCCTTGTGCACAGACGCCCTTCTGACTGGATGGGCACTGGCAGGAAAAGGGACACTGCTTTAAAGTTGGCCTTGTGACTGGAAAGGAGGAACTCGGGCTCTGAGCCTCGGGCACCTGTGCTGGCAGGCTTCCTTTGGGAACACCCTTTGATGTGCTCAGCACGGGATCACTTCCTCTCTCGCCTGCCTCTCCCACTTCCTGCTGAGGACACCCACTTCATGGGACCATGTGGCCACGTAGCCGTGCTGTTCTAGGCCAGGTGCCGCCTGTGTACACGTGGCAGATAGGGTGGGCTCTGCTGGGGTCCCGGGTGAAGGAGCTGGGCTGACGCCCCACACAGGGGCCTCTGTCCCGTGCACCCAGGACTGAGCAGCAGGAGCTGCAAAGGGAGTGGTCCGGGGAAGCCTGTGGCCAGGGAGGTGACAGTGATGGTGACCTTGAGCTCAAGGACTCCTGGAAGGCTTGCTCCATTGGTCTCACCATCCATTGGGTCGGTGGCGGGGGACCCCCAGGGGTCTCTTCAATGCCCAGAAGAAGCTAAGACACTTTCCTTCCCAGGGTACAGCCAGCACAGGCCTCACTCCACTGCCTGGAGTTTGGACGGCCAGACCCGGCTTCTGTCTCCTGGAGACCAGTATGGAAGGAGCTCGGACCAACCACAGTCCACATGGCACAGGAAGTGGGACACGATCATCACTCCAGGTTTCACGTCAGAGCGGGCTCCACACCTCCGACAGGTGAGGACGCAGGAGGAAGCGCCAGGTATAGAAGATGGGCCAGACGCCTCAGTCAACCAGGTGGTGGGCGGTGGGAGCCTCCCGGGCAGGTGTGGCCCTGCGTGGCTGGAGCCCCACGTGGGCGGAGCTGTGCGGTGTGGGTGGAGCGGCGCCGCCAGACGTCTATACCACAAATTCCTCCGGGAGGTGGTCCTCCCTGAGCAGGTCCACGGAGAGGCCATCCATGGACCTCCTTCCGCAGAGGAGCTTGGGCGCGGGGTCCAGTGCGTGGCCGAGGGGACCGCTGCGCGGCACGCAGCGCGGGGCAGGTGTGGGGCGCACGTCGTCCAGGCTGCGGCTGTGCTGGTCTGCACGGTCGGCCGCCGCCTCCGCCTCCAGGATCTGCAGGGAGAGGCCAGAGGCGAGTCTGGTACTTGGACGCCTTCCGCTCCCCTCCAGTTCTGCCCCTGTCCTGCCCACAGTTAACACCGCCCTCGTGCCGGCCCCCTACGCCCGCCGCCCCGGGCCTTTGCACTTGCAGTGCCCCACTGGGCATGCCCACACGGCTTCCACTCGTCCCCTCTGGACTGCCCTGCAGAGTGGCCCCTTCTGGGGGTTCCCCTGACCTCTGCACCCACCGCGCCCACCCTGCCTGTCCGCATTATAACACCGGTGGCCTCGGCCACTCGGCCTGGCCTCCTCCTCATGGGCCCTCCCTCTCCTGCGCGCCTGTCCGTCACCGAGGCGATTTCCGCGGGAGGATGCTCAAGTCTCCGTGCGGCAGCCCCCGCCCCCACGGCAGAGCCCGCTGCCTCTCCCCAGGGGACCTGGGGCCACTCAGTCGGGCCACACGGCCCTGGCTGCTTTCTTTCGCCCTCATTGGACTTGGATTGTTACTATGTGACAGGTTTTAGGAATGAGCCCTGGGAGTGTCCTCGGAAGTCAGGAACAGCCCACTCCCCGCCCCCTCTCGCGTGAGGGAGCTTGGCCAGAGCCCCAGCTCAGGGCCGGTGCTGGGGTCCCGACCACGGTGGGGTCCAGCTGAGCCCCCACCACGCTGAACTACGTGAACTCACCCTCACTTCTCAGCCGCGAGGCCCTAGGGTGGGAGGACCAGGCATCCCACAGGAGGGCGGGGCCAGGCGGGCGGGCCGACAGCCCCCAGCCCCACTGGCACCTGGGGCTTCTCGCCCCCTCCTCCTGTGTCAGGTCTGTCCCTCCCTTTGAGTCAAATCACACCCTGGAGGATGGCTTGGATCAGGGGTGAGAGAAGGTCCCTCCCTTTGAGTCTAATTCACTGCCTTTCCAGGGGCACCACCCTCCTACTCCGGCTCCCCAGGTCAGCTCTGAGCAAGGGCGGGAACCTCCAGGCCCGCCTTCCTCTGCCCCACCCGCCAGAACCACTGGCTTTGGCCCCTCCCCTGCTCCTGGGGGCCAAGGAGCTCCACCCCAGAGCCCCGCACTCCTGGGGCCCGAGCTGCCCTGGCAGCGCTCACACTGCCCACCGCCTGGGAGTGTGCAGCCAGGAAAGGCCCCCAACCCCCACTGCGAGCCCAGCTCTCAGGCCCCAAGGCTGATGAGAACCAGCTGCCAACCTGCCTCACTGGTGCCCCACTGCCCAGCTGCAGTCGCAGGGGGTCTCCCAGGGACCCCCCTGTGGGCCTGGGGCCCCTGCGGGATGGGCTGGAGCACAGGGAGCGGGAGTGAGGACCCACCTGGTGCAAGGCCTCAGTGCTCCGGCCCCTCGTGCTGACCAGCGTGACCCGCACCACCGCCAAGGGCTGCTGGGGAGAGGCTGTTGACAGGGGGCGGGTGTGTGAGCAGGGCCTGGGGACACCCGCCCACACTCTGCGGAGGACAGCCTACTCCTAGGGACCCAAACTCAGATGAGACTGGGAGCCTCTGTGGCCCAGGCAGCCCCTCCGCCTGGCCTTAGGGTCCCGGAGAGGTGGGACCACGACCTCGGTCCCCCACTTGCAGGCCATCTGCGATCCCAGACACCGCTGTCACACGTACTCCCCACGCGAGGTGTCTGAGTCCCCTCAAAGGAGCCACAGTTTTCCTGGGTGCACTGTGGGCTCCTCGGCTCAGGTGGCCTCCGCCTGTCCCAGGACCTCTCTCTGCAGGGTCCCTGTTGGATGCTGGTCCCGCAGTGCTGCTCTGTGGAGACCCAGGCACCGCCCCCCGACCACCCGCTCACAGGGGCCTGTCCGGCTTTGGCTGTCCAAATGCTCTACGTCTCAGCGACACGGGCACTCCCTGGGCAAACACCACATCACTATCATTGCTCGTGCTGGACTGCAGACCACGCACTTGGACAAAATCTCCGAGCAGGAGGCCCACCCGTCCTTTACCAGTGGGCCAGACGTTCGGAATCTACAGGTGGACACAGCAGGCTGACAGAACTGCCTGACACTGCATGACCTTGGGTGGCCCTGGGTGACCAGGCCTCAAGGCTGGTCCCCAGAATCACCCGTTGCGTCCATGCTCAAAGGTGCTGCAGGTGCTCAGGGAACAGCAGCCCCTGTGACCTTCCTGGGGTGACAAGGAAATCACTTCAGAAGCTCCCTTGAGGACAAGGAGCTTGCACTAAGTCAGAAGGGCACGCGGGCCTCAAACTCTGAGAAGTGCCTTCTGTCACACGACTTCTACTGACCCCTTGCAAGTAATGAGAGAGAAATGTGGCTGAAGGCTATCCGACGGCAGGAGCGTTAACGAGGGACACTGGTCAGCCCAGGCTCCCGGCAAGTGACCAGCTGCAGGAGGGCGGAAGGACTGCCACCCACCACGTCTGGCAGGGAGGGCCCTGTCCTGTCTCTGCCCCCAGGCCCGTGGCTGCCCCATGGTGGAGGGGACCCCTGTGTGACAAGGTCTGAAGAAATCAGGGCCATATGCACCCTGGCCTCTCTCCCTCTGAGTGATGGCCCACCCAGGGCTGGCCAAGCAGCATGCTCACCGTCTCCTGGGTCCTGAGTGTCCCCTTCAGGCCCACCTCTGCCGCCACCAACTGTGCCACGGTGGCTCTGGCTGGCTTGGGAACTGCAGGACGGCCCCTCCCTGCGGGGCGCCGGGGCCCTGATGGGCTCATCCACTGACATCTCCCTCAGCCCCGTGGGCCCCCCCGGCTGGGGGTCCACCTCGATGTCCGATGAGTGGGAGCTGCAGTGGCTGTCGGCCGAGAGGAGGGGGAGCTGATGGGAGGGATGCTGGCTACCACCCACTCTGTCCCCACAGCTGGGGGCGCCGGGGGAGCCAGGGGTGCCGGGGGCAGCCCTGCCGGCCAGGCCCAGGTCCAGCTCCTGCTCCAGCTCCAGCTCGTCGCTGACGTAGGACTCCCGGTAGCACTTCTTTTCTGTGCCGGGAAAGGAGGGGCAGCGAGGGCGTGAGAACAGGTGCTGGAGGTGGAGGAAGGTGCAGCCACGTTCCTGGAGCCGCCAGTGGCCAAGGGTGGCCCCGGGGTCCAGCCAACCACCATGTGCGGAGCTGGCGCCAAGCTCCCGGAGATGAGGTGGGAGGGGAGGGCAGTGTGGTCCAGAGGTCAGCTATTGCCTGGGCCCCGGGGTGGCATCTGTCACTTGAGCCAGTAACCTCCTCATGCAGGCTCCTGCACCCACCGCCCTGGGGCTGTCACGCCGCCTCCATCTGAGGGACCCCAAGCAGCCCCGGACACAAGTAGGCGTGCACGCACATGTGCAGTATGCGCGCACAGCCGGGGCTTCCCAGAACCACCGGGGGTTACTGCAGCCCTAGCCCAGGCCCTCCTCTCCACACCTGGAGAATTCTTCCCCAGAACCCCCAATACCCTGGCCCCCCATG